TGACAAACTAGAGGTGGCTTTTTCCATCTGTACTGCAGGGGAAGGTGTCTTGCTAGATCTCTGCTCACCCATCATGCAGGAGAGAGCAGAAGCCTACCTAGTGATGGACAGCGTGCGGGCGGGCTTGGTTTGGCACTGGGGCCATGGCCAGCTCTGATCCGGGCTGCTATTTGGTTCTCAAAGTTTATGGGACTAAATAATATTGTCCCACGTTGCCCCAAAGCTATTGGTAACCCCTCTGTGCACACGTTGTTGGGGAGTCGTGCTGTGTTGCCCACACCCCCGCAGCAAGGTTCACCTTTGACCACACCGGGATGCCAGTCCAACACTGGCAGTGCCAACCAGGGGGGTGCCACCCTGCTTTGAGGTAGGCTGCTCTGGACAGGTGCATTTTCTTTGTCTTGCTTCATGTGAGACTCGATCATTTTCTGGGATGAAATAACTGTCTTCGCTCCTGTTGTGCTGGCGACGACGGCAGAGCGGTGATGAAGGAAAGGCTGATGCAGAGCTGAAATAAATACAATGGAAGAGTTCAAGCCGCTGCCCACGTGTCTCTTTGCAGTGAAATGTGGATTGGGCATTTGGTCTTTCTCTTGCACACCCCATAGAGGGACCAGAGCCCAAGCCCAGCCAGGGAGGAGGAGGGTGCTGAGGAGGTGCCACCCCACACCTCCTTTCTGGGGTGCTGCGCTCAATGTTCTCCATCCTTTCTCTGAGCCAGAGGGAGGCATAAATTAGCCAGCAGACCCTGTCCCTTGGTAGCCCAGGTCCGCTTGTGAGCCCCCGAGGGAAGAAGCCACTGCACCAGGTGAGACAGACCTGCAGCAGCTGCTGGGGACTGTTCTTAGTATAGCTGAGCGTATAGCAAGGGCCAGATTTGCATGGGATGCTGGTCTCCCAAAAGCATCCCCTGCTAAAGAAATCTGCTGTTCTGGGAAGGAAGGAAGAGGAATGCAGTTGTGTGCAGGGAGAGGTGCAAGGCTTGGGGTATTTTCCCTCTGGTCCCATGCCTGGTTACAACCTCCCTATGGAGGGGCTGAACATGGCTGTCCACAGCTCACGGTGAGCTTCACCGCCAGCCCACAGAGTTCCTGCGGAGACCTGGTCTCTCTGCAAAGGGGCAGAGCCACAAACCCATGTGGCTCCTTTTTAGTGCTCCCCTCGGGCTGCCGGAGCCCAGATGAGTGGCTGTGCTCACTGGGCACTGCAGCAATGGCAGGGAGGGGGGAATGGCTCATGGTGGCTGAGCACTGGCACCAAGCCCCACTGTGCTGGGCGCTGTGTGAGTACAATGGGCTCATCTCTGAGCATAACATGAGATCAGCCCAGCCATCCCGGGGTTGTGTAGCCCGCATTGCCCAGGAGAGCTGCACTCCAGGTGTCCCAACCTTGGTCTGAACACCCGGGATGGTCCAGCACATCCAACCCTACCCCTTGCCTGGAGATTGTCCTAGGAGCTAATTCACCTGACAGCTGAGATGGCTGTTTTGTGCATAATCCCCTTGCTGCCCCCTCTCTCTTTCTCTTCTGGGCATCCTCCATCTGCTGCCTCCCTTCAGATCTCCAGAGCATGAGCTATCTGGGACAGGGATTGTCAGTGCTTTCTTTGTCCAGTACCTGGCATAATAGCATCTTCATCTTTTATCAAAGTCCACAGAACGCTAATGTAATATAAAGGTTGATAGTAATAGCAGCAGCCTGGCATACTGCAGCTTAAACTTCATCCACAAATTTGGCAGCTACCTGGGGTTTTTCTATAGGACCTCCTCCATCCTAGACCCTCATTTGCTCTTGAGTCAGACTATTCATCCTCTGTCATTGTCCAGGATCTCCTACCACTTCAACTCAGCGGTGGTCTACAAAGCAGAGGCAAGCACAGTGGCATCGAGATAAAGTGATGGGGAGCCAGGCTTTCCTATGCAGGGCCTATGCGTTTGCAGTATACTGATGGTGCCCAAATGCGAAGACACAGAAAACCTTTGTGGGGAAGGGAGGACTTGCTGTAAACCCAGCCTCGTTGAATGGAAGGAGGGCGTTGTTGGATTGTGCACAATCAAACAGATCTGATCGATACCCAATTAGAGATTTTTTTAACACCAGCCACTAACACTGTGAATGAAAAATCCCCAGGATAGTTTTTAATAGGAAAGCTGGTCTGCACTAGGGTAGGGCCTTCCTTTCATCATCAAGACCATTGAAACCATTTAATGCGGGGATGTGCATGGCAAATGGCCTGGAATGAGGCAGGCAGACAGGAGCCCTGTGCCCCAGGGGTGAATAGCCAGACATCACTGTGATGGGCAGGGTGGTGCAGGGGGTGGGGGGCAGTTGCTAAGGTGGCACAAGAAGAGATGCCAGGACCTCAGCCTGCCTTCTCTCTGCATGGGGCCACATCCTGCAACCTCCCTGGCATGGGGTTTTCTCTGACTGGTGTCTCAGACCAGTGCTGGTTCCTGGAGGCATTGGTGCCAAGTCAGCCTTGATGTGCTCCAGCAGGGCCAGGTGGGGAAAGTGGACTGCGGCCTCTGCTGTCCTTGCTCTGTGGGTGGGCAGACAGATTCCTGCCAT